CTTTCATTTGAGTACCCACTTGCATTTTTTATATATTTTTCATATATACATATATATAATTTTTATAATTATATGAAAAATTGATGTGGGTACTCAAATGAAAGGTCTCGATGAGTGTAATGTCGGGATGAGCTTATATCTTTAAAAACGTCGATATTTAAGAAAGTACAGTGCAATTCAACATAATTAAGAAACGACCTTTTATCTTGTGAACTATTGAAATTTTCAAAGATATAAGCGCACCCTGACATTACACTCATCGAATCCTTTCGTTGAGTACCGAAATCAATTTTTCATATATTTATATATATGTATGTATGAAAAATATATCAAAATGCATATGGGTACTCAAATGAAAGGTCTCGATGAGCGTAACATCGGGATGATCTTTTATCCTTACAAATTTCAATATTTAAGAAAGTACAGTGCAATTTAACATAATTGAGAAACAACCTTGTATCTTGTGAATTATTTAAATTTTCAAAGATATAAGCTCACCTTGACATTATACTCATCGAAACCTTTCATTTGAGTACCCACATCAATTGTTCATATATTTGTATATATTATATATATGTATTTATGAAAAATATATCAAAAATGCATGTGGGTACTCAAATGAAAGCTCTTGATGAGTGTAACATCGGGATGAGCTTATATTTTCAAAAACATCAATAATGAAGAAAGTACAGTGCAATTTAACATAATTAAGAAACTGCCTCGTATCTTGTGAACCATTGACATTTTTAAAGATATAAGCTCATCCTGATGTTACACTCATCAAGATCTTTTATTTGAGTACTCACATCAATTTTTCATATATTTATATATATATTATATATATGTATATATAAAAAATATATCAAAAATGTATGTGGGTACTCAAATGAAAGCTCTTGATGAGTGTAACATCGGGATGAGCTTATATTTTCAAAAACATCAATATTTAAGAAAATACAGTGCAATTTACCAAAAGTCATTATTTAATAAAGTAAAATTCTATTTATTTATTTTCACAAGTCCTAGCAGTCACATTGTGACTGCAAGGCTGCTAGTTATTTCAATTAACTTCACCGGTAATAAACAAAATAAAAATAGAGTTGAAATATCGAAAGAGAGATAATATTTTTTTCTTCCCTCGGGGCAAATATATCTCATCAATGTATGTGTGTCGTGTGTGAAGATATTAACTAGGGACTCCCCTGGCTTGTGGATCGTCTAAAATAGTTGGCTGGATCAATTTTTATCGATATGCACCAGCGGTATCGCGCGCATTTACCTTTTGGCGACCTCATCCCCTCACTGGTGCCCACGAGTGAGTGTACTAACTCTAGTACTAGTACTAGTACCATTGCTAGTACTAGTGTTATGTGTAGGTATGTATAATGAACTATGTACTATTATGTACACAGTATGTAGTAGAAGGAGTAGAGAGAGGGCTGAGTAGTAGAGGCAGGCAGGGCAGAACACGCGACATTGTGGTACGTACTGTAGGATAAATGGTAGGGGTACCATCGGGGGCGGTAAGAGAGTGTCGAAGGGTATCGTGATGCGCGATATTGAAAGATAGATGTAGTCAGACCCGGGTAGCGAGTCAGTAAACACCAATTTTACAATTTTAACTCTCTTTTAAACAACGCCGCTCTTTTCTTCTTTCCTCGTTGACTTTTTATTTTTTTATTATTTATTAAAAATTGCAATTTTAAAATTCATGGTCCAGATCACTAAACTTTTGACGTTTTTCCAAGTGAAAATAATTTTTTTTAAGAAGAAATAAATATTTAAGTGAATTTTTTAAAGTTTTATTTTTTTGAAAGAAGAAATAGATTTTTATTATTTAAAATGGAATCACTTTGGCGGAAAATTTGGGGACATTCCAACGAGGATGTGGTTGATCCTGTAACTGGATTGTCCGGACGAGATGTAAGGCTTGTTCAGAGTACATGGGCTAAAGTCAACGAGGATCCACTGGCTTCTGGTACCACAGTAATGTTAGGGTAATTATCCACAGTTTATTTTTATATTATTATTCTTATTTTATTTTTGTTTCTATCATATAAAAATTAGCAGTCACTTGACAATTTTTCAATTTTATTTAACGAAAAAATTTGTTTAAAAAAATTGGATATTTTTTTTTTTTTAATTTCTTCATGTGAATTTTTTTTTGCTGTAATTTATTTGTTACAAAAATTATCATAATACTCTAAAGTTAGCCAACTTTGTGATTTTTTTTTACTAATTAAATTAATACAAAAAAATATTTTAAAAAAATTGCATTTTTTATTTTTTAAAATGTCTACATGTCAATTTTTTTTCATTTTTAATTTTTTATAATTTATTTGTTACAAAAATAATCAAATATTTGTTAAATTAATTTTGTGACATTAAAGTTAGCCGTCACTTGGTAATTTTTCAATTTTATGTAACGAAAAAATTTGATATTTTATTTTTTTTTTCTTAATTTTTCATGTCAATTTTTTTGCTATAATTTATTTATTATAAAAATTATCATAATACTAAAATTAGCCAACGTTTTTGATTTTTTTTTTAATAATTGAATTAGAAAAAAAAATTTCTTAAAAATTGCACTTATAGTTTTTCGCAATTTTTAATTTTTTTGTAATATAATATATATAAATATATGAAAAATACAGTTAATAAAACTAAACATCCAATTATATATAATTATAATATTGACGGACTGATCTTAGATAGAGTACCACAAGTAAATGACCTGGGTGTACTTAATGATTCAAGACTAACATTTATAGATCACTACTCTAACTTAATCAGATCTTCCATGAAGGCACTAGGTTTTATCATCCGAACCTCCAAAAAATTCAGAAACTTAAATACTATAAGAACTTTATACATTGCACTTGTCAGATCCAAGCTTGAGTATGCTTCAGTTGTATGGTCACCTTCTTATAAGACTCATATAAATAATATAGAGAGAGTACAACGCAAATTTGTTAAATATTATTCATTCAAAAAGCATGGCATTTATCCAGCTAGAGGATTCGACTATCTTGCCATGTGTGTCGACACAAACCTATTAACATTAGATGAAAGAAGGACTTGCGCTTCCATACTTCTAATAACTGGTATTCTGAGTAATAAAATTGAATGCCCTAGATTTCTTGAGCTTATACCGATATCAGTACCTCAGAGAATATTACGCACTGATCTGCCCTTCTATCCACCACGTCTAAGAAACAATTTTTCTCTCTCAATACCTATCATTAGACTTATCAGAGCATGTAACAACATAGTTCAACAGTGTAGAGATCTTGACTTGCTTGACTTTTCATTGTCTATTACTGCCAATACACTGGCTTCTATTATTGTAAGATCTAGACAAACTGACCACCGTACTCTAGCATCTTCAGCCACTAATGAATTCTAATTTAAACTATGTACCTAATACTAAGTCCTTGTAATTATTGTATAATAAAAATATAGAATATTAACTGCCCTAACACTATTTGAAGCTATATTATGAATTATATATTGTTAAACACGTATTTATGATCTATTTGCTACAATTATATATAATTATTATTATATGCCTAATTAGGATTATTTTATTGTTATCTTAATACTAAGTTGTATATAATATTGTAACACTAAAAACTCGTATTGTATCTTATATAATTCATTTCTTTTTATATATATACTAATACTATTTTCCTCAGCGATGTTATTTGGCTACATGCGCCCCTCATTCTTATGTTAATGTAACTTTCTGTAACCTTACTATTGGCCCTTTAGGACTGTTAGGTTTATAAATAAAGAAATAAACTTAATTTTAATTTTAATAAAATTATCAAATATTTTTTAAATTAATTTCATGACATTAAATAAGTTAGCAGTCCTTTGAAAAATTTTCAATTTTTACTTAGAAAAATTATTTTTAAAAAATTGTATTTTTTATTTCTACGTTATTTTTACTTTTTCTAATTTTTTTGGCATAATTTATATGATATAAAATTATTAAATATATTCCAAAACAATTTTCATGTTTCTATCTAATATATTAATAATTTACAAGAAGCAGAATTAGTTATAGCTATAATATAACATCATAAACGCATAGTTATGTTTCACTGTACGCTCTAAGCTATCGATTCTCGGTTAATCGTAATTCCGGTGGCTTATCAGCAATTATAAACTTATAATAGTTCCGGTAAATTCACATGGTCTAGTCCAACATGTGGGAACTAATTTCGCCGCGATATTAATCCACATTGCGGTTTTCAGTAACAGATAATAAAATTTATCGAATTTTTATTTGTGTTTAATAATAATAAAAAAAATTCTTTATTTAGAAAATGAAAAAAATTACAATTAAAAATAATTTATTTTTAATAAAAATTGCTAATGTGTAGAGAATTAAAATTAAAATTAATTTTTTTTTAATTATTAAGTAAATAATTTATTATAATATCTAGACTAGATTGTCTTTAATTTGGGGATTAAAGAAGAATTTTAGGGAAATATTTATGAATGTAACGAATTAAAATTAAAATTAAATTGTTCTTTTCTTTGAATTATTGATTATCGATGAGAAGATTTGAATAATTTTTCTGTACTTACTATCTAACGTCAAAAATAGTGTAACTTAAAAATTACTTCAAGGAAAATGCGACTATCAAAAATTTTTTTTGATCAGAATTTTTTTTTGTAAAGTCTTAAGTCGAGATTAAAAGTCAACAGTAAAATTTATAGAAATGATTCACTGCAAGTTATCTTAGCCAAAAGCTGACGAAATTTTGTTCCTTCTTTCTGAAGGATAAGAATCCAAGGTTTATAAAATATAATCCCGAGTTTCATCAGGTGAACCTTGAATCCCTTAATTTGAAGCTAAAGTACCTCCTCTAACAACGACCAAAATATTTCTGACGTAGCAAGGAAATAATTATGCTACTATTTTTTATTTAGTATTTCTTCTGTTATAAATTTAAGTCCATTATTTATTGTAATTACTTTAAAATTATAAAAGGGAAAAAGACAATTAACAAAAAATAATTTATTTTTAATGTGTGTTAACACACACCGGATTAAATATTTAATTACCGTAATTTTAATTGCGAGCGATCGATTTATCGAATACTCGGGCTTTGACAAAGGATTTATTAAGGCGGTCTTATTAAAATTCAAATCAAGTTCCACTCATTTTTTCCATCTACGCTTGTTAAATATTCATACCGGTGTCTTTCATTATAAATTCACGCTTATATCTCGTAATTTTTTGTTCCAGATTTTTTGAACGCCACCCGGAGTATCGGTCGCACTTTGACAAGTTCAAAGATGTGCCCCACCAAGATTTGCCGGGAGACAAAAAATTTCAAGCACACGCTTTGAGTGTTATGGGTGCATTGAACAACACCGTTGATGCATTAAATGATGTTGGAGTGCTTGAAGCTAGTCTTACCGCTCTCGGTAAACGCCATGCAGCTCGTACACTAACGGAGCAACAATTTCAAGTAAACATTTTTTTTTTTTTGGTTTTAATTAGATTCATTTATTTATGCCATGGCCTAATTGGCCGAATGGCAAATTTATAAATTTAAACAATGTTAATTGATGAAGTAATGACATTAATGTACATAATTAAGTAGAATCAGACGCAGAGTATATAAATAAGTATTATGATATACGATTTAACCAATTCACCAAATAATATGCTTAAAAACTCATTAAATATCATCCGCGGTAATTAAAATTCTATTCATTTAATTTTTTTCTTTCGTTTATTTTATTTGACCGCTTTTGTAATAGCAATCGAGTTTTTTTTTTTTTTTATTAATTTATTATTCTTGTGATTTTAAATCATATTTTATTAAGCGAATAATTATTTTTTTTTTTTTTTTCAATTTTCTGAGACAAAAAAAATTTATTAATTAAATATTTAGTCTTAATTAAATATTTTATTAATAAGAAATTTTTTAATTCAAAATTATATTAATTTAATTGTTAGATTTAAAAAATTATAATTTTTTACTTATTTATTTAAAAAAAAAAATTATTTAAAAATTTACTTCTATAAAATGTTAAATTTTATTTAAAAAAAAAAACATTTTTTCTAACTAAAAAAATTTATTTAAAAATTTAATTTTTTAAAAACATAATTTTATACAAAATCAAAAATTTTTTTTTAAAAATGAAATTTGATGGAAAATCAAAATTTTTATTTAAAAAAAAAAAATTTTAATTAAAAAATATCAATTTTTTAACTAAAAAAAAAAAATCATTTAAAAATTTACTTTTTTGAAAATTAAATTTTGTAAAAAATAAAAAATTTTGATAAATATTTACAAGTCGGGTCAAGCATTTTAATTTTCATTTTTTTGAACGAAATTTCTATTTGATTTTTTTGAAAAATACAAAAAAATGAATTTTAGCTGACAATTTTTTGATTTTTCTTAAAAAATAAACAAGATATAAAAAATTATTTAAAAAGAATTTCATTTATAATTTTTTAAAGTTCTAAAAAAAATTTTTTTCTAATTTAATTAATATAATAAATTTAATAAAATTTTTAGCACCTAAAAACAGTGATTGTGGATGTGTTCCGTCAGACGCTAGGTGACCAATTTACTAAAGAAACCGAAGAAGCATGGACGAAAACATTCCAAGTTATATATTCATATATTTTTAAAGGTCTATCTTCCTAACATATTTGTAAATAAGACAATAATTATTATAATAATGACTACAATACGTTAAATTACCACGACGATGATCTGATGAATATCAAGATTGATTTTATAATATCCGACAAATTGTAACATTATCAGGAAATTGTATGATCGTCGTCACGTGCCAACTTCCACCCGTCGCCGCAATTTCACTAATTTTTTTATTATAAATTATTTACCGTTCTTTAAAAAGCTCGCAATGAGATAAGTAATTTGAAATAGTTACAAACTATTAATTTAAGTAGACGAGAGTAATCTTTGCTCCCTTTGCATACAATCCGCCAATACATTAATAAATAATAATGTCCGACGTGTGAAATGATGTAGATGATGACTATTATATACGCGACAATGAGGCTTAACAGAACTGCCCAATTAATTTTATTCTATTCCTTGGTCTATTTATTTGTTATTATTGTTATTATTTTATTGAATGTACATCGGACAAATAACTTAACTTTATGCGCATAAATATTTAATAAAATAGAAGAATGCGCGTGATATAATTTTAATATTAAAACTTGTTTGAATTACAATAAGAATTATGAATAGAGAATACGAATATGACAGATATAATGTATATTTATATCTATATATAAATTAAACTCGACGACAAGTCATATCACGTCCTCTTAAAGTGGTGGTACTTTGACTAGAAAATGACAACGACTATGACGACGATCTACGCTCAATAATTCTCTCTGGTGAATTTTAAAAAACATACTTAATCATCACAGCTATTTCTCACGACGATAATCTAAATTATTATTATTATTATTATTATTATTATTATTATTATTATTATTATCCGAACAAAAACAGTTTCACTGTAAAAAAAAATCGCGCCAAGTCCACGTTCATAAGACTATTAAAAAAAAAAAATTTTATTTCTTTACAAAAAGATATAAAATAAAAAAATCCAAGTAACCGATATGGTTGTATATGATTTTCGGAAATTAAAAAAAACTTTTTTGTAAATTTAAAAATTAAAAGAAACAATTTTGGAACGTATTTAGTGTGCGTGGTTACGAAATATTTTATTTTTTATGAAATTCCTAAAATCTATCTACTAGGACTTTAAAAAAAAATTGAAGTACACAATGACGCACACCAAGTACGTTCCAAAATTGTGTCTTTTAATTTTTAAATTTACAACAAAATTTTTTCTAATTTCGGAAAATCATATACAATCATATCGGTTACTTGGATTTTTCAATTTTTTTATATTTATATCTTTTTGTAAAGAAAAAACTAATTTTTTTTTCTTAATAGTCTTATGAACGTGAACTTGGCGCGATTTTTTTTACAGTGAAACTGTTTTTATTCGGATTTTTCTTTCTGGAAATATGCTTTTCATGGATAATATTATTGTCAGATGCCAATTAACGTTTTAATATGATTTTCTGATTTTTTGAAAATTGTTAATTTAAAAAAAATACGTTTGTATGAAACAATACATCAATAGATAGATCGACCGATATCATGGACTACTGCGTGTCCTCGAGCAGACAATAATCATAGGTGCGAGTGACACATGGCCTCGAGATCAATGAAAATAAAATGATGGACTGGATAAACGGTCGAGTGGTTTTTTAACCTTACCGTCGAAACCTCACCGGCGACTTGGTTATGCTTGGCTCGTCTTGCGACGGTTATATACAGATCATTATCGATACTAAATATATAAGAATGCCTGGACAACATATATACACCTCACATTTATTTATAATGCTTGATGTCGCCGATTGTGACAAAAATGATGAGTATCCGCCGGAAATTCCCCCTCTTTGTTCGATACACGGTTACTTTATTTTGTAATCTTGTGAAATTTTTCCCCCGATCTTACCCCTCGACATTATCATCATCGATATTATTATTACCGACCAGCACTGTTGTTATTAATTAAAAGTAATAAATATTCATTATATTTAGCCCCTTAAATTCGGCATCTGGTGCTGTTGATTATTATTATTATTATTATTATTATTATTATTAATTATTATTATTATTATTAAAATTTGCTAAAATTATTAATAAACATTATTATTATTAAAAAAAAATAAGATAAGAATCTTATAAGTTTTATTACACTATAAAAAAAATAATAAAATAATAATAATAATAATAATAATAATTTTAGAAATATTACTAAGATCGGTGATTTTACTTATTAAAAAGAATTTATTATTTTTTTAAGCCAACTTAGCCGATCCACTTCGAGCTTATGCAATTTTTTATTTATTAATTATTACAGCACAATATTGTCGGTATGAGCACTCATACCATCCTCGGGTGAATATATAATAATTAAAAAAATTTTTTTAAAGCTTCCCGAATTATTTTTTCGGTTACTGAAGAAAAAAGTTTCACTGAGTAAAAAATAACATTTTTGTATAATTTCAATTAAAATTGTCTTAAAAATCAAAATTTTTAATTATTACATATTCAGCCGAGGATAGTATGGGTGCTTATACCGACAATATTGTGATGAAAATGATTAATAAATAAAAATTGAATAGTCTTTAAGTGGATCGGCTAAAGTGGCTTAAAAAAATAATAAATGCTCTTTAATAAAAAAATAAATAATAATGATAATCCACAATTTTCCTGAAAAACAAGCACCCCCAAAATGATCGCTTCATTTTTTGTTAAAATAAAAATTATCGTTATTATTTTTATTTTGTAATAAAGCTTATAAGAGTCTTACCTTATTTTTACTCTAATTTTAAAATGCGGCGATGGAAAATTCATTGTACAATTGTTGAATGTTTTTAATTAAATGTTATTTAACAAAATTATACATGTATTATAATTATTATTATTAATTCATATGATATAAATAAAAAGTAATCATCACGAAATAAAATACCTTTTTTTATTTTTTATCCCTCCACGAATATTTTCGTGCCCTATCATTTTTTTTAAGTATTATAAGTTTAAGCGCGCTGAATAGCTTACTCAGTTCTCGTTCAGTTCCCGAAAGGATTTGACTGCAGTCTCAGATTTTTTTATATCTTCGCTGGGTTATAAAGTTTGAATTGAATACATTAGTAATAAAAAAAGGATTCTTTTTAATAGTTTTATTATTATGGGTTCTATTGTGAGTTATGTGGTATCTAGCGAAGGTCAAACTGGATTGGAGAATGATGATCATAAAAATTCAGGCTTGACACAACGGCAGAAAAAAATCATGAAGAAAACTTGGGAGTCTTGTATTAATTCTAATTCAATTGTTATTTGTGTGGAAATAATGTTGAGGTATATTTTTAAATTATTTATTGTTATAAAATTAAATTTTTAAATGATTTTTTTGGAGTTAAAAAAATTAATATATTTTATTTTATAAAAATACAATTTTTATTTAAAATTAAAATTTTTAATTTTTTATAAAAATCAATTTTTAAAAAGTAAATTTTTAAATGACTTTTTTTTAGTTATAAAATTATGTTTTTTATTTTATAAAATTACAATTTTTTTTTTCAATTAAAATTTTTGATTTTTTATAAAAATTAATTTAAAAAAAAAGTAAATTTTTAAATGACTTTTTTAGATAAAAATTATTATTTTTTATTTCATAACATTACAATATTTTTTTAATTAAAATTTCGTTTTTTTAAATTACATAAAAAAATATTTGATTTTTTATAAAATTATAATTTCAAAAAATTGATTTTTTTTTTAAAAAGTAAATTTTTAAATAATTTTTTTTTAGTTTAAAAATTGATATTTTTTGTTTTATAAAATTAAGTTTTTTTTTAATTAAAATTTTTGATTTTTTATAAAATTATATTTATGAAAAAATTAAATTTTTTTAGTTAAAAAAAATGTTTTTTATTTAAAATAAAATAAATTATTTTTAAAAGTAAATTTTAAAAAAAATTTTTTTTAATAACAAATGAATAAATTTTTATTTATTATGATGTAGTTTATTTGATAAATACGAAGATACCAAAGAAATGTTCCCGGACTTCAAAGACATTCCTAATGAAGAACTGAAAAAAAATAAAAAATTTCACGCGCACTGTCAAATGATAATGAGTGTTGTAAACAACGCTGTAAATGCTTTCCTAAGTGATGATGATGAGCTATTCACAGCGATACTTAAAATTACCGGAGAACGTCACGCCAAGCACGCTAAGAATCCGATAATTGCAAAACATATGGAGGTGAAGATTAATTATTATTAAAATTTATAATTTATAAATTCATGAATATATTATATGACAGATTATTGATAATTATTAATGTTTAGCGCCTACGAGATCCGATGATTGAAAGCTTTAAACGTCATATGAAGTCACAGTGGACTAATGAAATGGGTAATTTGTGGACGTCCGCGATTGAAAATATTATTAAAGTTATAATTCAAGGAATTCAAGAGACTTTGTCGGAAAATTAACACACGGCATATAGCATAATAATTATGAAACAGAGATTTATTTCACTTTTTTCATTTAATCATCATTTGATACGGTCATTACATTAGTTTTTATCTCATACGTCAATGTCAATTTGCCGGCCTTGATAATTCAATTTTTATAATTTAATACTTCCTTATTTTAAAAATAAATATTTTATTGTTTTTAATATTTGATACTTAAAAAAATTTATTGCAAGAGTTTAATTTTCTTAGAAGAATTTAATTATGATAAAAATGCCAAGAGATTAAATATTTTAAATATTTAATGTTGAAAAATGAAAGAAAATTATATATTTATGCTTTTGCCAGTTTTAACATTATATAAATAAAATAAAAATGTATTTTAGGTAAAAAATTTGTATTTTTTTTTTTTTTCTTAAAATAAATTAATAAATAATTTGTAGGCTGAATCTCTGTAAGTGTTTGTTATCTTTTACTTAAAAGGTCAATAAGGTGACCCGAAGCTAATAAAAAAATCATATTTTTTTTTTCTTAAGTGAGATCAGCGGAAAATTATGACATATTATTGCGATTAATTAAAAGAAGAATATTTGTAATTATATAATTTATTTAAAGAATTTTTTTGTAAATTTTAGTTTTAGAAAAAATTATTAAGAAAGAAGAAATTGGTAAGTTAATTATTTGTGAAGATTGTCTTTAATTTTGGGGTAAAGAATTAAAATTAAAATTTAATTGTTTTTTTCTTTGGATTATTAAGTAAATGATTTATTATAATATTTATACATGTGAAGAATTAAAATAAAAATTTAATTGATCTTTTTTTTGAATTATTGAGTAAGTTATTAATTATCGATGAGAAACAATTTGAACAATTTTTCTGTACTTAAAAAATTATTAAGAATTATTAAGGAAGAAGAAATTGGTGAAAAGTTAATTACTTGTGAAAATTGTCTATAATTTTGGGATTAAAAAAGAATTTTATGGAAATCTTTATGAATGTAAAGAATTAAAATGAAAATTTAATAAGTCTTTTTCTTGAATTATTAAATAAATTATTTATTATCGATGAGAAGATTTGAATAATTTTTCTGTACTTAAAAAATTATTAAGAATTATTAAGGAAGAAGAAATTGGTCTGTTGAAAAGTTAATTACTTGTGAAAATTGTCTCTAATTTTGGAATTAAAGAAGAATAATAGGAAAATATTTATGAATGTAAAGAATTAAAATTAAAATTTAATTGTTCTTTTCTTTGAATTATTAAGGAAATAATTTATTATAATATCTAGATTGTCTTTAATTTTGGGATTAAATAAGAATTTTAGGGAAATCTTTATGAATGTAAAGAATTAAAATGAAAATTTAATTGTTCTTTTCTTTGAATTATTGATTATCGATGAGAAACAATTGGAACAATTTTTCTGTACTTACTATCTAACGTCAAAAATAGTGTAACTTAAAAATTACTTCAAGGAAAATGCGACTATCAAAAATATTTTTTGATAAGAATTTTTTTTTGTAAAGTCTTAAGACGTGCTTAAAATTCAACAGTAAAATTTATAGAGATGATTCACTGCAAGTTATCTTAGCCAAAAGCTGACGAAATTTTGTTCCTTCTTTCTGAAGGATAAGAATCCAAGGTTTATGAAATATAATCCCGAGTTTCATCAGGTAAACCTTGAATCCCTTAATTTGAAGCTAAAGTTCCTTAAGGTCATAAATTTAAGTACATTACTTATTGTAATTATTTTAAAATTGTAAAGCAGCTTTTCGTAAAGAAAAAAAAAATAGATATATTTTACTGTTGTTATTTGGTAATAGATTAGTTGGGTCAGTATTGGTTTAGTAGTCGCTTGAGCACCTTCGTAGAAACAATTAGAGATAAAAAGTTTGGGGTTTTTAATTTACGTCATATCTGTATATGTGGTTTTGATATTGGTAACATTATGAGTCATTTATTCAGCGATAATATAAGCCCAGCGGATTCGGAGAAGATTGGTCCTAGAATAAGCGGTTTCACTCAAAAGCAAAAAAAATATATGAAAAACACGTGGGATGAATTTGTTTTTAAAAATTTAACAGCTATTGGTGCTGAAGCTATGATGAGGTAAAATTATTATTATTATTATTATTAAAAAAAACAATAAAAAATAATAATAATAATATTTTTTATGTTATTATTATTGATTTTTTTTTTATTAAATTTTATTATTATTATTATTATTATTTTATTTTTTTTTATTGTATTACGTTCTCAAAATTTGAGATATTTAAATTTAATTATCATTCAGGCTTAGCCGCGTTAGGTAGTTGACAGACTCCAAGTGGGCCTTGTCACTAGACCCTCTCTCAAAATTATAAGAACCTTAGGAATGGTTTTATTGAAAATAAATCAACAAAATTTCGTTAGTTAAAATATATTGTAAAACTTAATAATTTGGGTGGAGTCAGTTCATCTCCGGACATAAGTCCGGGGCCGAAGATGTTCATCGGCTGACCTACTCAGGCTGACTGCTCTGGATTTGCATCCAGAGTACAAAGAATTATAAAAATTAATAAAATTGACAACGTTGCATCTCAGGTTACCCTAGAGAAGTCGTCGGAGTCCAGTTCTCACGATGTTTAGGCTAGAGCCCGGCGACTCTCTTATCACAAGCGATTTCCGTTACTTCGCTGATGAAGAATTTTATTCATCATCAACGAAGCAGTTAAAATTTTTGAATTAAAAATTTAATTAAATATTATAAATTTAACGGGAACGTAACAATTGTTATTGTTTTTTATTATTATTAATTTTTTTTTAGTGTTTTTGAAAATAATAATGACATCAAGGAAATGTTTCCGGCTTTTAAAAAAATTCCAATTGACCAACTAAAACATAACGAAAAATTTAATGCACATTGTAAAATGATAATGAACGTATTAAATAAAGCCCTTAATGCCTTTTTCGATGACAACGATGAGCTGTTTGAAAAAATAGTTAAGATTATTGGAGAACGTCATGCCATGTGGGCCAAGAATCCGATAATTATAAAACAATTTCAAGTAATTATACATTATAATTTATTAATAACAGAAGAGAAAAAAAGGAAGAATTTAGTCACTAATGGATTATTATTAACTCAACTATTAAAAGTGATTTTTGTTTACTTTATCTATGAAGTAACTGTTCGTCATGAAAAAAAAAATTTTTTTTCTTTCAAAGTGATAAATACTTGTTTTCTCTTCAATAAACTCAAGTCATTATTATTACACTATTATTACACAATAGACAATAGTTAGAGAAGAATTAAAAAAAAATTTTTAATAATTTTAAAAGATTATTTATAGTATTCTTCTTTTTAGCCTCTTCTTAGTTTTTTCTTTTTTTGTAAATAAATAAATAAATGTATAACCCAAACTATTTTAGTGTGTACAGGTGCCGTTGATTGACAGCCTAAAAATTCGTTTAGAATCACAATGGACTGAGGAAACGGCTAATTTGTGGACTTATGCAGTAGAAAAAGTATTTAGAGCTATGATTGTACCAATGAAAGAAGTCTTTTTGTAAATAAAACAAACAATACCTAAAACTACAAAATAAATCTATATTATTAAGACAATATTAACCAGAGTTAGATTTAGTATCGTTGGAAAGGTCTTGACCTGAAGTTGTGTCTTATCTTGGTTTCATATTATTCTTACCAATAGTCAATTTATGATAATAAGTATTTAGGCTGCATTCGAAAATGCTTTATCTCTAAATACATAATTAAGAAATGATCTTGTATCTTGTGAACTATTGACATTTTTAAAGATATAAGCTCATCTCGATGTTATACTCATCAAGAATTTTCATTTGAGTACCCACATCAATTTTTCATATATTTATATATATTATGTATATATGTATATATGAAAAATATATAAAAATGCATGTGGGTACTCAAATGAAAGCTTTTGATGAGCGTAACATCAGGATGAGCTTATATCTTTAAAAACGTCAATACTCAAGAAAATACAGTGCAATTTAACAATTATCTTGTCAATTATTAATATTTTTAAAGATATAAGCTCATCTCGATGTTATACTCATCAAGAATTTTCATTTGAGTACCCACATCAATTTTTCATATATTTATATATATTATATATATGTATATATGAAAAATATATCAAAATGTATGTGGGTACTCAAATGAAAGCTCTTGATGAGTGTAACATCGGGATGAGCTTATATCTTAAAAAACGTCAATAGTTAAGAAAATACAGTGCAATTTACCAAAAGTTATTATTTAATAATGTAAAATTTTATTTATTTATAATTCACAAGCTACGGAAGTCACATAGTGACTGCAAGGTTACTAATATTCAATTATCAATTCAAACATCTTGTGATCCAACTAATCAATGGTCGTATTATCATCATCATCACTGTCAGTCGCCTGTTGATTTAACAATTCAACTCCTTCTTCTTCCTCATAATACTCATTTTTATAATCCACTTTTTTCTTCTGTCCATCAAAAATAATCTCTTTTTTTTCTCTCCTGAATTTTCTAAATTTATCAATAGCATGAGCGATTATTAATACCAAAAGTCCGATCAATAAAACACTCAAGACACTTATTAATATCGTGTCAATAATTGTCCATATATTTCGGTCGCGACTTTCACTAATTGATCCTGAAAAATCATCAGTTTGCCTGAAATAAAAGGATAATTTTAGCAAATGCTTCAAATAAAAATATAAATAAAATTAACTTTACTGGGTCTGAGTTTGTTCTTGTTCATCTTCACCCAAGGGTTTATTCATTGACCTAAATAGGTCTTTAGTTTGTTGACTGAAGACAGTGTTCCCAAGCCAATCAGCAAGGTCGCTTCGATTTATTTGTTGTAAGCGGTGCGCTAATGTGCTATGAGTTTTCCCTTTACCTTCGCCCGGCGAGCTGTTCCAGTGGATCAAATGTTCCAAGCATGTAAAGTCGCCGCTTACTAATCTTTCTTTCGGTAAAGTATTTATATTTTAGGTATTTATATTTATAAAGTAAATTATTTTTAAAAATTGACTTTTACCAGCCGCTGAAATGTCACTTGGTAGGTCATAGGACGTGTAATGCAGAGCTGCTATCAATCGATTACACTCAACGTTATTTAAATGTGAAGCTATGTACTCTAATTCTGAGAGATTTATGTCTATTGTACCAAACACTTTGTATATTTTTAATAATACAATATTTACAGTAAGTAATTTATGATCCATATTTTTTAAGTGAAGAAATATATAAATTATATTAACTGAAATTTAACATTTGATTATTTTTATTACTTTTTTTTTTAACAAATAAATTTTAAAGAAATTTGAGTAATTATTTACAAGTGGGATTTATCATTTTAATTTTCATTTTTTTAAAAGAAATTTTTTTTTAATTTTATATATTTTTTTTTAAAATACACAAAAAAAAATTAATTAAAATTTGAAAACTTTTCAGCTAGTTATGGTCTAAAATTTTAATTGAATAAAAAAAAAAATTGTAATTTTATAAAATGAAAAATATTAATTTTTTAACTAAAAAAAAGTCATATAAAAATTTAATTTTTTTTAAATTAAATTTTATAAAAAATTCAAAATTCTGGTAAATATTTTAATTTTCATTTTTTCAACGAAATTTCTATTTAATTTTATTGATATATATTTTTTTTAAATACATAAAAAAATGAACAATTTAAATAAAAATTGATTATCACAATTTTAAGAAAATTTCCAAATTTTCTAAAAAATTAACAAATTTAAAAAAAATTCTGATCAGCTTTTTTTTTTTTTAAATTGTTCGTTTTTTTTATGTACTTTAAAAAAAAAAAATAAAATATAAATTTTATCCAAAAAAATAAGAGCCAAAATTTTTTCCAACTTTTGAATACAAAAAAAAAAAACAATGAGAAAAAAATTAAAAAATGTAAATAACTACCGAAAATTGTTGAAAATAAATTCTTACTTTTATTTGTTAAAAAAACTATAAAACTATCAAACGTTGGAGAATTCCAGTGTCAATAAATTATTTGTTTATTTATTTGATACAAGTGAAGTGAGCTGATATGATTTTTTTACTGAAACTTTGTTTCATCTGTACTTATTTTTAGGACGTTTCTTTTTACAGCACCCGCAGCCTGTTGGTGGAGTTTCAACAATTGTTTCTCTTGGTGGTATTAATGGTTCAACTACAGTAACGTGTTGTACTGCTGCGTCAACATAATCCTCAGATAATGACTTAGCACGGGGCCAAGACGGCTGGGAAGCAACTGATGTTACTGGTGTTGCCGGTATTACTGGAGTTGCCGCTCTTACTGGCTTTGCTGCTCTACTTCTTTTTGCTCTCTTAGGTTTAACTTTACTCGTTTTTCCTCTCTCCAAGTCCTCGCAAGAGTCTCTGACAACAATTAAATCATTTTATTTTGTCAAGTTTTATGTAGTAAATTAATTTGTTTGATTTTGTAGGTAGAAGTGCACTTCAAATGCCTCATCAGGTTAAATTAGCTTTTTTTAAGTAATTAAAATGATGTATTATAGTTTTGGAAGGATTTTTTTTTTTAATTATTTTTAATGTTATTAATAGTTATCAAATATATTTTATTAAATTTAATAAGAACTGAAAAATGAAGCTTATTAATCAATTTTAAAGTTTTTTTTTTAATTACTTTAAAATTAAAAAAAAAAATTTTTTTTTAGATAATTTGATAATTTTTTTAACAAATAAATTGGAGCAAAAAAACATTTTTTTATAAAATTCTATATTTATAAGCTTTTAAAAATTTTTAATGAAATTTTTTTAAAATAATTTTTTAAACCTCTTTTTTTTTTTTTTAAAAAAAAAAATTGTTAAGTGGCGTATTTTTTTTTATAGTTTAATTAATTTATTAAAATCTATAAAAATTGTGTCAATTGCATTTTTCACTTAACTTAATTTTTTAAAAAGAATTATAAGAATTTTTAAGGCTAATAATATTGAAAATTTTCAAGATCTACAAAACATGAAGTTAAAAAATTAAAAAGAAAAATAAATATAACAAAATAATTGGATTTTTTACTTTACTAAATTATTTAAAAAAATTTATGATAATCTACAACCTTGTATAAATTGAGTAACCCTGTTATTGGCCCTTTGGGCTGTTGGGTTTGAATAAAGGCAATAAATAAGAATTATTAACGTTTATAATACTTATATAAGCTTTTAAAAATTTTAAATGAAATTTTGTAAACTGCTTCTTTTTTTTTAAAAAAAAAAGAGAACAAAAAATTGTCGTGATTTTTTTTTAATTTCAATTAACTTATTAAAATCTATAAAAATTTTATCAATTGTATTTTTCACTTTGTTAAATTTTTTAAAAAGAATTTTTCACGTTTATAAAATTTAAAATTTTTAAGATTTACAAAAAAAATCTAGTCAAAAAATTTTAATAAAAATAAATTATAAAAAATAATTGTATTTTTTACTGTACTAAATTTTTTAAAAATAATTATTATAAAAATTTTTAAAGTTTATAAAACTTAAAATTTTTTAAATTTACAAAACATGAAGTTAAAAAATTTAATAAAATAATTGTATTATTTACCTTACTAAATATTTTTAAAAAATTTATCATAAGAATTTTTAACGTTTATAAGGTAAAGTACCCAGTAGTTGAACAGGTTTCAAAGTAAAACGTATTTGACCCTACTTTTAATATATAAAGATGTAATTATTAGTTCAAATTAGTGATTTTCATGAAAATAAAAACAATTTTGAATTGATTGAAGTGCAAAATAACGCAAATAATTGAATATTTATAATTTGACAACGTTTTTAAGATAGACTATGAAAGGAGTAGTAGTTGAACAATCAATTCTGACAAGCCGCAGTAGTTGAACACTC